ACCCAGTTAATTGGAGCAGTTCAGCTACATGTGTCATTCCTAGCTTGTCCGCATATGACTTAGCACATAGCACCTGCTGCTCATTCTCAAGCAGTAATTTCCCTTTTGAAATTTTCCACTTTTGAAATAGCTTCAAATGCATCCATACTTAGGCTGACTGTAAGGAAATCTAGGACATCTGGGACACTGCCCCTGTCCCCTCTGTTCTCCCAAGTCAGTGGGGCTACTGCTGTTGAGCACGATGATAGCACGAGATCCATTGTGTTTCTATGACACCTGTGATCAAAATACTGTGTAACCTGGGCGGTACTCCAAGAGGTACCCCCTCTCCAATTGAAGGGATCAAAGCAGGTGCACAAGCTCTGTGGGAGCTGTAGGGACTCTCCTCCCCCTATAGAGCAGAGCCAAACCACCACTGGGGACTTAACCATATACCTGTTAATGAAAGAACAGTACTGGGAATATAACAGGCATAAACCAGGGGGTATAGGGGACACTACAATGCCCTAAGGGGGCAGGATTCAACAAAGGTTAGACACTTACAATCATTGACAAAAGACAGGATTAACAAAATAGAAAACATATGTACATATAACACAAACAGCAGAGCAAACAATAGTGGTTGGTGAAAAATAGAAAGGCACAAAATACAAAATGTCAAATAACAAGAAAATTAGGGCCTAGGTATCTGGAGGGGGAGAAAGGGGGAAAACACAATGGCCCCTTTCCACTGCAAGACAATTTGCTCCTTGTTAGCTCGCTAACCCCAAGTCACCCCAGCTGAGACTTAAACTTGGATCTCCCACTGGGTAGGCAGAAACACTGACATACAGCCACCAGTGCTGGCACTACTCCAATCTGCTAAGGGTCTTGACCTTCCCAGAGCCTCAGCCTTACATCAAGCTGCTGGGCCTCTTATTGAAGGAGCTGGAAGCAGGGCTGGGAACCTCTCAGGTCACTACTCAGATCCTTTCTGGATCTGGGGAGCCTCTCCTGCTGGCCACAGCCTCTCATAGGCGATCCTGGAGCCCAGCAGGAAGCCTCTCCTGCCAGCCACATGCCGCGCTGCTGAGGATCCAACTGCTGCCTGCAGGTCCCACTCCTTCAGGCTCTTCTGGGGCAATTGCTCCTGCCCTGCTGGCCCAGCTCTTTGAAGCTCCTTCCTTGTGGTCCCTGGCTGGTCTCCCTTGAGTCAGCTGCACCGCCCCTTTTATCCCCCTCCAGGTGACCCAAGGGGCCAATCAGGGGACACAGAGGGTGAGTCTCTGGGGCCTGATTGGTGAGGAAAGGGAATCCCAAGTCCTCCAATCATCTTTTACCCCTTCAAAACCCCTGGGCCAAATCATTACCAGATTGGTGAGGAAAGGGAATCCCAAGTCCTCCAATCATCTTTTGCCCTTTCAAAACCGCTGGGCTAAGTCACTGCCTGCTAGCCCGTCACAACTGTACTGAAGGACAAGTGTCTTGATAAACAAAAGTAAATCTTTAACTGAGGTGAAGAGATAGCAGGCATTATAGACAATGTTGCTCTGCAATGCTTTGCCTTCCTGCCCACCTGCACACCAGGCCCCTGCTTTTACTGGATGCTCTTTTTAATTCTCACCAGCAGGCTGGGTTCAGCTTCCAAAGTCTGGGACTGTCCCAGCTAAACTGGGATATAAGGTCTTTCTATCCATACTCCAAGTCTGTTTGGTAGCTGTCTACTGTAAATAGAGCATAGGTCTTGCTGCTGAGAGCATGAGGGAGGCTCCTTGCATTTGATCATTGTTGACAGACAGTTAACTGCTAAGCCTAAGCCAAAAAGCAGGACTTGGAGGAAAGGTTTAGAATAGGGGTAGGCAATGCTTTTTAGGCTGGAATGCCAAAAAACCCCATAATGTCTATCTTGTAAAGTGCCGGCATACCAGGAAAACAAAAATGGAGTGGGGGAGGTGGGGAGGGAGGTACATGGCAGGATGCACTGCATATAAACATCGGCAAACTTGGCCAGTGAGCTTCTGACACCAATGTCCACATCATTGATAAAGATGTTAAAGAGAACTGGTCCAAGGACAGAGCGTTGGGGGACACCACTAGTCACGGAGTACCATAATGATTTGCTACCATTGACTACTACTCTCTGGGTCCGACCTTGGAGCCAATTTCCCAGCCATCAGACTGTGGTGTGGCCAAGGCCACAGTTTGCCAATTTTTCCATGACGGGATCATGGGACACCAGATCAAAGGCTTTTTTAAAGTCCAGATATATGATGTCAATCTCTTCTCCTTTGTCCAGGTGATTTGTCACCTGGTCATAGAAGATGAGATTGGTCAGGCAAAACCTACCCGTGACAAACTCATGCTGTCCCTCAGGATGTTGCCATCAACCAGCTTATCAAGAAGGGGCTCTTTGATAATTTTCTCTAGAATCTTACCAGGGATTGAGGTCAAGCTGATTGGCCTGTAATTCCCAGGATCTGCTTTATGCCCTTTCTTGAAGATGGGTACCACACTGGCCTTCTTCCAGTCTTCAGGTACTTTACCTGAGCATCACAAGTTTTCAAATATTTTTGCCAATAGTTGGGTTATGACACCTACTAACTTCTTGAGTACTCTAGGGTGTAATCTGTCAGGACCTGCTGACTTGAAGGTGTCCAGCCTCTCAAGGTGATCCTTTACTAGGTCTGCACCAATGCTGGGTATAAATACGCCCTCACCCTGGCTGTCCCGCATCATGCTAGGCAGGGCGGTCCCTTTGGGCTGATGAAAGACCAACGTGAAGTACCTATTAAGCAGGTTGGCTTTTTCCTGGGTGTCGGTTATCAGTTGTCCCATTTGGTTTAGCAGGGGTCCAATGTTACCCTTGCTTTTTTTCCAACTCCCTACACATCTGAAAAAGGACTTTTTATTATCCTTGATACGCAAGGCCAGATGGAGTTTGGTAGCAGCCTTGGCTTTCCTGATCCATTCCCTGCACTTACAGACCAGTGCTGAGTACTCCTCCTTGGAGATCACCTAGTCCAAGCCCCTGTTCAAGGCAGGATGGTTCCTATGTAAACCGTTTTAGGCAATGCTTTTTTACAAGGATCCCTACAAATTCTAAGAACAACTCCCATGCACAACTACTAGGCAGAATGCCCAAAACATCAAAAACACCCTTTACCTTGCTACAGGTAAAGCAGGGGGATATGGGCACAGTCCAAGTCCTACTGCTCCATGGAAGTAGTTTGTTAAAATATGCTTGAGGGATCCAGGGAAGAAGACCCAGCTCTCCCAATGCACAGGAAGACAAATCCCCCCTCCTTGCTGCTGTCAAAGCCAATCTGATCATGGGGTAAAATTCTTCTGAGTCTAAATGTAGCAATCAATCTAATTTTGAGAGGAAAAGCAAGACTCTCTAGCCAAGAAGTTCTAGGTTTTTCACTCCCAGCAGGAGCATCAGCATACTCCAGTCAAAATCCCCAGCCTTCATTGGAACCAATACCCAATGCCTTCAAGGAAGGAGAATAAAAACCTCTGACACTTCCAGCAACTGGAGAGGAAAAAATTCCCAGCCCAACATGGCGACCAGCAAAACTGAGAAGCATGGGATAAGCAGATACCCTGCACTCTACACTGCAACCTGCCATTACAACAAGGGCTCTTAATCACACAATGAAGGTTTCTTATAGCTAATGAGATCTAGTCTGGAGAAGTCAGGATGAGGAATAGGAAGAAGTAAGGACAGGTGATCACTTGAGAAGCACTGATAACTATAAAATATGAGATTAATATTGTTTCTCTCTCTATTTCTCTCTCTGGATTTGCTGAAGGGAAGAGCCTTAGGCTAGGAACACGTTACATTTGTCCCTGGACAGCTGTCTGCCCTGGGGCAGAAAGTCCTAGGATTAGCATATACAGGCAGTCCTTGACTTACAACTGTTATGACAAATGACACTTACGACCTTTGTAAATTACAATACACTGTACTGTACAATACACAATGTACTGTTTTGACTTTAGGATGCTGGACACATCTGCTGTGGCAGGGTAGGGCAAAGCCACGTCTTGTCCAGGAGGTGTGGGGAGGCAAAGGCGGTTCCGGCTGCTTGTTTGGAGGCAGTGCAGTGGCTCTGTTCTGCCCTGGCTGGGCAAGCAGCAAGAGGGCATAGCTCCTGCTTCCAGCACCTTCCGCCACCCACCTGGAGCACAGCCCGGTGCAACCCCGGCCCTGCCTATCCCAAAAAGATCTGGGGGCACGTGCTTCCCCCCCACCCCCCTCCACGTCCTCCTGGACCGGCAGTGGGAGTAGTGGCGAGAGCCTTTCTGAAGGGCAATTTTTTCTCAGAGTTACATGATTTATATTGGTATAAGTGTGCATATTTTTACCCCAGAACTCAATTTGCACTCCACAGTGAAGTCAAATTAGTTCTCTCTGGGCATGTCTATGCATGCTATTAGCATGCAGCAATAAACTTTGGTATATATTGTGCCAGATTCATTGCTCTGGGGTGCACTATTTGAACGTGTGCCCGGGACCGTAGCATGTCGAGCTGGGTAAAAGAAGTCCCTGTTGGCAGAAGGCCCGGGGGGGTCAGCCTGCCAGGCTGGTGCTGCTCCTACCAGCTCAACGTGCTGTGGAGGGGCTGGCTGAAGCATGAGGGTGCTTCAGTGTGGGGCTAGCTGGCAGGCAGACCCTGCACTGAAGCAACTTTGCACCCCAGTCAGCCAGGTCAGTGTCTACACGTACGCTGCTGCACACGAAAAAAATCCACAGCATATTAATTGTATTTACAAGTACTACACTGCTACAAAGTTAATTAGTTTCCTGCGGCCTAATAGGGCTGATCGTGTAGACTTGAGATATTTACTGTGGAGCTAATTAGTGTACTCTTCAGTAAACTACACACAATAAATGTGTAGACGCACCCAGTAAATGTGTTGTATGTCCACATCCTAAGAGACAATTAACACAGGTAGAGAAATACCTTGGCGGGGGGGCATAGTTTAAGTACCCAAGTAGAATAAAATGGACGCCAGGATATTGTTTTGACAAAGTAATTTTATAGTAGTATTTTACGTTTTGGGATTAACAGCCAGTACATCCCAAAATACAAAACTTCCAGGTTAACATGATGAAACTTATTTATGATAATGACAGAAGACAGAAACAAATCACAATATGATAAATCATATAGGAAATCAAAATGAGTGTTGAAGTGAGGGTAATAACATGACAATTCATGGATTACACACATACGCAAAAGGCACTGCAATGACAGAACTCATGGCCCTGTAGATAGGATGGGTGAGTTTGCAGCTGTAACTTACAATTTCCTCAGCTAGTTCACTGATCACCAAATACTGTCTGCACTGAGCAGACTGAGATAGGAACCTCTCACCCCGCTCTCTGCAGGGGGTGAAATTGGTTTAACTGTTTTCAGCCAGACTGAAAACTACTTTCAGCATGCAGTCCAGCAGTGACACAGAACTTTACTCAAACTCATCAGCCAACCAAAGCTGCGCTATTACCATTAGAATGTATTATTACTTAGTGCTACCATGATCCCATCCTGCCTTGAAAACCTGTCCCTAAGGAGGAGAAGTTGAAGAGATCACTGTTACCTGCTGAAAGGCTCTGCACTTATGAAACTGAGCTTAGACCTTGGAAAATCTGGAGCCTTCTTACAGAGGTCCCCAATGAAATACTGCTACTCTTCTCCTGCCCCTCTGCATGATAGATGCTATGTCTTTGTAACAGGCATTATTGCTTTATTTATTGAAAACTGTTATTTGTCTTCTGCTTTTCACATATTACACCTGAATTTATCACAACTTGGGATTTGGAGATGCAGGAACTGGTCCCAGCCATTTCTCTCCTGTTGAGACAAACAAGCATAAAACATTAAATGTTAATGTGCAGAGAGTCTAGCATGAAGAGCAGCACTGCCTGCAGCTAGATGATTCTGTACCTGCTTTTCTCAGAAAAAAATAGCTGTGATGTTACATTAATATTGTCATTGGGACACAGACCTTTTATAGTTTTATGTTGCCATCTGTAAACTTGAGCAGGAAGGTCTCTATTTCTACATCCAGGACATTAATAAAAATGTTAAACAGCATTGGATCCAGAACAGACCTCTTGCAGCAGCTTGGCAGTCTGCCAGCTCAAGGAGCCTTGGGGGCAGACTTAACTCAAGGGGCCTGGGAGCAGTCTGCAGGCTGGTAAGGACTACAGCTCAGCTAAAGAAAGTGAAATATGATTGCAGGCTGCCTACAAGGACTGGGCCAACTGATCCAGATAATGAGCTTGTCCACAGGAAGAAGGCTCCTGGGGAAAAGAGCCAGGGAGAGAGACACTTTGCAGCAAGGAACTGCAGTGGGAGAGTTAGGCTTCTAGAGAGAGGAGCTTGGGACAGGAGGACAGTTGGGAAACAGAGCTGAGCAACTGAGAAGCTGGGAGCCAAGAGGGAGAGAGTTGATGGGTCAGCAGAGCAGTGCTGGGAGACCCTGCCTGGAGTGCTTTTCTCTTGGAAGTTGGCCAGAAACTGTGAGTGCATCAGAGACTGTGTATGTCCTATGTTGTGTTGACTCTTGTTAGGAGGGAGATTGCCCTGGAGGAGTAAGAGCAATTACCAGAGGCTGTGAGCCTGTAAGAAGAGACTGAAAGACTGTGTGTGGAGATAGTTTCCCTGCACCTGCTACACCCCTGAAGAACCCTACCATCAATCTCCTGCTTTCCTGGCAGTGACCCATTTGTAGTCACTTCTTACTGCTGACATTCAGCTAATTTTGTACTGTAACTGTAATTCTATTAAGCACATTTTGCTACCATATTTACTTGAATACAAGATGATTTTCCCCCTAATCAATGTGGTAGGAGAGGAGAGGAGAGGGAAGAAGCCTTATCTTAGATTTGAGTACCAGCCCAGGACAGGTGGCAGCTACAGCCCTGGCTTCAGGCCTGGGGCTGAAGTTGGAGCTGAGCCACCCCCTGCCCTGGGCTGGGGTGGCTTATGTGGCTGGGAAAGGGCCCCATGGCTGGGGAAGTTGGATTGGGGAGACTTTGCAGGGGGTGCGTGTGGGACACCACAGTGTGCGGCTGGGGAGGGAGTGCAGGGCAACTACGAAGCTTGCCCCACTATTCTCCCCTAGCCACTTGCCCCCCTTCAATTATCTTTAGCTCTGGCTTTGGCTCTGCCCCTCACCCTGATGCCTAGCTGGGCTGGGTTGGGGATGGCACCACTGACTTGCTTGGAACTGAAGTCAAGCCACCACAGAAGGTAAGCGGTGGAGGGGGAGGGGTGTGGGGGCAAGTGGCCAGAAGGGGGCATATGGCAAGGGAGAGAGGCAGCAGGAAGTCAGGCACAGGTATGGGAAAGGCAGGGTTGCAGGCATGAGGCAGCAGGGGAGTAGGCACAAGCATAAGGGGCAAGGGGCGCGGAATTGGACAGAAAGTGTCGAGGGGGCAGGCACTGGGGATGGGGGGGTACAAGAGCCAGGCACGGGCAAGGTGGGGCCAAGGTGTGGAGGGTCAGGCAGTGGAACAAAGGGTAGGAGTTTGGCTGCCTGCTCTCTGGCTGACATTTTTTCCACCCAGGAGTGGTGGGGCGACGGACTTTAGATGACCTTCCAAAAATTACATTCTTTATGTGGAAAATTGTAACAAATTTATAATTTTCCATGTATAGAATCTAAATACTCGGGGGGGGGGGGAGACGGATGGGTTGTTTTCAATTTGAAGTTGTGTTGGATTGGGTAAATAGGGTAGTTTGCTTACAAGGTCACATGGGACTGTATTAAAAATCCCACATTCATTATGCCTACTGAATTTCTTTCATCCACCAAACTGGTCACCCAAGCAAAGAAGGAAATAAAGTTCATTTGACAGATTTGTTCTTATCAAATGTACATTGGTTGCCCTCTCTCTTGCAATTCTTGGCACAATCTCTTCAATGTTTTTGTATTAATAGTCTAGCAGAAATAATATAATCATTGATGATCCTTGGATGACAGACTGATGCAATTCTTCAAGTGGGAAGAAAATTCTTAGTCTCAGACACTTTCACTTTTTCCCATTATATAACCGATTACAGCAGGTAGCTAATTGTTAAAATACACACCTAAAACAGAACTCAGCAGCTCTAGGCGATCAGAACCAAAGAAGAGTTGAGGTTCACCATTAAGATGGATCACAACAGTTGGCATCCCGAATGCCTAATGCCATCATGAAAACAAAACAGGGAGAGTCACAAAGAGAATGAGCCAAATGAATGTGACACCAATTTGTACTGCAAATTCTCCAATGAAAAACTGTTCCCTCCCTTCCATTTTTTATCTTCTTTTCATCTTCCTCAATCTCAAACCTAGGCTTTATGCACAAAGCTTGAGCCATACAGAACCTCCAAAGCACCACCTTCCCTTGCTAGTAAGCAAACCAGTCAAACCAGACTTCTATACATAGCAGTAGAGTGCTCTGGCCCCAGGCATGGGCTTTGAACTCCTTAGCACTCCCACCTGTTAACACCCATTTGGAATTGGGCAGGAATCAAACCTGTTTCCTAAACAGGATCACAGAAACTAACTCTGGGGTACTGAGTGAATTTCTAGAACATGAATTTAGAAGGTAAACTAACAGAAAGGGATAGAACCATTTGTATTTTGTCATCATCCCCTTCATCCTCTCTCACCTTTATATATTACAGAGAAAGCATCCACAGTTCTAACACTTTGCAGCAATAGGAGGTTCTCACCCCATATTTTAGTGCCTCTTCTGTTACCTCCTTTAAGCGATTCTTTACTTCAGGGGACAGTATCATTTCTAGTAGCTGCTGGGCCAGCTCTGAGGACAGCCCAGCCTTCCTTGCAGCCTGGAGAGACAGAGAGAAATGTGAATCAGAGCATCAACCACTTTCATGCTAGTGACACAATAAACAAGTGCATCTTCAGTCTTGATTGCTTGAAGGTTTATTACTGAAAAATAACAAAATACTCCTCTTAAATAATTTTCTGGCAGGATGGTTAGGGCCTCGCTCACACTTGTTGATTATACCAAGGCACTTTTTAATAGATTTTTGAATGGAAAGCAGAATAGATATCAACTTCCCAGGTTCAATATTTCCAGGCTTTTTTGCGCAGCTTTTACATGGAGAGGAAAAAAAGGGAAAGGGAGAACTTAGTCTAAGTGAAACATTTTCAACCACAAAAGGCAGAGGAAAAGTGGAATAAGAAGAATTGTAAGGCGTCTAGGCAGAAATAGAAGGAGCATGGCAAACATATAAAGAATGGAATTCAGAGTGATACTATGATAGAAATGGTAATTTACTGCAAGCTGCTGGGGTAAGCTTCATTACTGGAAGGTTGGTAGAAATGGGTAGCTCAGCCCCCAGCTCTATCAATATACCTCTCAACTTCTGAATTTGCTAATGTGTGATATCAGGTATCTAAACAGGCAAATAAAGTGTCCTAGAGATCATCTATGTTGTATGATATCACACCAAAATTTGCAGATTAGTTTTTTTCTAAAGGATGCTGTTTCCTTGCCTGAATGAAATGGATCAGTTCTTTTTAAAGAAAACAGAACAACAAGTTCCATCACATGTAAAGGGCCAGATTCTCGCTCACCTATAAATGCACCTCAGTACCATTGGGCAATTCTACTGCAGCCTTTGTAAGTCCTTGAAAGTCCATTAATGACTACTTCTGGAACACAGTGGACTGAACATTTGGTAGACAAAATTAGAATACTACACATCTATGATCCTGAGTTCCATTTGTGGTCCTGGAGGAAGTACAGTATAGGGACTAGAGACAGAACTACACAAAACTCATATATTTGGAATATAGATTCTGAATGATAGCATAACCACATGACTAAGCTGTGGGTCAGCCAGATTAGAAAATTTACTTCTATTGCTAACACTGCCTGACAGATGTGTACAATCCTTCTGCTAATTTGTTTGTAAAATTAAGATGGAGAATAATACCTGATTAATCTTTTACGCCAAAGTCTTAATTTGGGGTCATCTGATATAAATGGTGGCCTTCAGGTAACCTTAAACACAAGCTTAAAGGACCAACTGATAACTAACTCTGATTCACAACTCAGAAAACAAGACTGGAAGACACCTTCCAGTCCATTGAGTCCTCATCATATAATCTCTTTTATAAACCTATTCATTTTAAAGATAGTTAGGGTATTTGCTCCCAGTCTTCCTACTGGAAGGTTGTTAATGAACCCCATGGTTCTAAGGGCTGGGAGGCCTATTCGAATTTATTCAGAGACAGATTACACCCATTTGTTCTTGTGCCATCACTATCCTCAAATGTAAGGAGTTGTTCTCCCTCCCTGGAATTTATACCTACTCTCCTCCCAACCCTAGTCCATCCCAACATAATTACTAACAACAAGTTTATCACTCCAAAGTCTTTACTTTGCTAAGCTGAAGCCAAGCTCTTTAACCTCCTCTCATTCGATCAGAGGAATGGAGAGCTTATTGTCCATGAATGCAAGGATACAGAATACATTGATGTCATTCTAAGGCAGTACAAAACTGGGAGAGATTGAAAACTCTTTAGAACAGCAGTAGGCAACCTCTTCCATCTATGGGCTAGAACAACACACCCTGGGTCAAATGCAGGTGGGAGGGAGCCTGCTAGGACCCAGTTGCCACCATTGCTGCTTTTCTGAAGCAGCACAGGGAGAGCTCCTGCAGCTAGCACTTCTCTCTGTGGCAGCATGAAAAGTGTCCACAGCTGAAGCCTTTGCTGCTAAATGTTGCTGCAATTCCATGTCCACAGGCCTGATCCAGACTGTGGGCAGTAGGCTGCCAACATGCCAACCAGCTCTGTAACAGAGAAGTCATATCTTGTCACATGGCCAGAGAGCAGTAGAAAGCTCACAGATAAACAGAAGAGGACAGAATGCAAAGCAGAGTGGAACAGCAGCTGAAGGACAGCCAGCATAGTTCATTGTACAAATGCAAGCATGTTAACATTACTACACAGTAACTTATTGCACTCATAAATAAACTGCTGCTTAATCCAACAGGAATAAAACCACTACAGGACTTTGCTGGTTACATAATTCTTTTAATGCTACAATCTGGATTACAATAGCGTAAACTGCCAAGATTTCGGGAAGCTTTGGGCTGTGTGTTTTTGTAGCATGGCACAGCCTAGTTTCACACAAGCAACTGAACAAGACACAACATGAAGCTGTCAGCCTGTCTTGCTGAATAAAGGTGGACAGCCACAGATTTTCAAGGAATGGCTAACCTAGGCATGGGTATTATGTTCATTTTTTGAATTTCTGTAGACTCTTGTACTTTATCTTTAAAGTAACGGTATGACTGGAAACTTTGTGCAAACCCTTTTTTGCAACCATAAATGTTTAACCACACCTATCAGGCACCTCTTGAAGACAGAAACTATAAACCAGAAATTTTGCTGAGATTCTGAAAAAGAATGTGTTTAAGAGATCTCATTGGACATGGGATCTTGCCTTTAAATAGACCGTGAGTTCCAGCAATTAGAAAATACTAGGGAGGAAGATTTCTATCTAAAGACAGAAACAGCTATGTTCTGACTCCAGAGATGGAACCATTTGGAGACTGCGTGGCTAGGCCCCATGACAGCAATTTGGTGAGTAGCAAAATGGGACCACCCAGACAAATGCTGTCAACATGTCTTTTTCTCAGATACAGCTAGAGAACTGAAAAATAGAAGAAAAAGGAGAAAAGTATGTACAATTTTAGAGCAATTTAAAAGAACAGCATAAATGGGATCTGAGAATAGAATCTAGATATACCAGCACTACCACTGAATGCTTCAGCTTCTAAATCACAGTTTATTTTAGTTAGAAACCTTCTATAGAAACAAACAAACAAAAGAAACCTCAAAACCTTCCCCTCTCTCTGGCGAGCTATTAAATGTGGCTTATGTTTTTCCCCTCCTAGTGTTAACAAAATGCAATGAAAAGGGTTCCCACTGTCCATTCTAGGACATCCTCCTAGGGAAATTAACCCAAAAATGTATAGCGGCATAAATATTCACCTAAGCTTTATAAAGAAAAAAAAAGGCTCCAACCAGAGTGTCTTGGGAAATTATGTCCAAGGTCTTCATAACTCCATGTGATCATCTAACATATGAAAGCAGAAGCAATAGTGACAGCAAGAAACTTACATCCAAAATACTGTCTGGCTGGGTGATATCTTCATCCTAATGAGAGGAAGAAAGCAAATAGTTAAATGAATAACTAGTCTGTTAGGAATAACTAACTGTTAATGAATAACTAGTCTGAAAGTGCACTTTAATCTGTTTCAGCTTAAGAAAAAGGGAATCAGAAAAAAAATAACCCCCACCCTAAAGGTAGGGATCTTGCTGGCGAATCACCCACATGAAAGAAAAAGGGTTACCATAACTCAAATTGGAAGCAGATTATGAGCTCTTTGCAATGGGTTCCTGGTAAAGCAACAATGCACCAGAAGAAAGGGCAATTGAATTGGCATGAAAATATAGCACTTCCCTTGGAGCAATCCTTCAGCCACTATAGTCTTAAGCTTCCTGCTGTGACATTTCCAAGTGCTTTCTGTCCGTACTCTGTGTTTGACTGAGGGCACGTGTGGAGCAAGATGGGAAAAGGTGCTGGATGTGGAGCTTGTAGAGTACTTACACGGGACCAGATGCGCATCCATAGCTCTCTCGACATAGGCTCTAGAAATTGTGGTTGTATCATATCAACAGCTGTGAGAAAGCGCATGGCAGAAAGGCTGCCTGGGTTTGATGGGGAGACAAAGACACATACACTGAGAAGATGAACAGGATCAGCAGTGACTACTGAAATTTGCATTAGTGTTACACCAGGACAGGGTGATCACTTTGGCATTTCCTGGGAATGTACCTCAAGAGCATAGAAGGTAACCTATGAAGGTTTTGACCATGTTAGAGGGTCACCTCTACTTGTGATTTCCCTAAGACTGTCCAACACAGCTAGCTCTTCAAGTCTACAGTAGGGCTTAGTAGGGATAGAGCTGAGTGAGATTTACTTGGGATACTCAAGAGAATGGCTTTAGCCAATATGGTCCACACTAATTTCTGACACAGATGGGAGTGTAATGGACACTTTATCTGTGTCCAAAACAACAGGCCAAACTTTTAAGACTGGCTTGCAATTTTGGTTGCCTCCACTAAGATCTCAAATAGAAACAAGCGAGACCTGATCTCAAAGTTCCAGCAGCTTCATCTGATTTCCATCAGAGCTGTGGGTCCCCTGGCACCTCTGAAAAATCAAGCACTGGCTCATTAACAGCTGCATAGGACACTGCAGATTTTAAATTCTGTGTAAGGGCTAAGAGGTAGGTGCACTTCCTAACCTAAGCACACATTTTGCCAGTTATACACATATATGAAGGGAACAGTTTAGGAGGTTTTAATTCTTGTTCTGTCCTGATTCTCCCTGATGTATTTATTAGTTCTCGACAAATTAGAACACCTGTACATGGAAACTGCTTTGCCTTTTAAGTTGTTATCTTTTCTTGTTTGTTTTCCTGTTTTGTAAGTTATTCTGTTCACTTACTGTAAGCTGCCTCCGTAGGGAAGGGCAGCAGATGAATCGACTGAATAATCAATAAATAACCGAACCACCTTTTAAAAGAAGCATTATAACAAACATACATCACATTTGCCATTATGAATTTTTGGTTGAATAATATTATGAGTTAACATCTGAGACTTTCAGGATTTGCAAATATTTCTTAGGAATTTCTGCTAGCTGTCCAAATGGTCAAAAGTAATATGACCCTATGAACAGCAGGGACTGGAGCCCAGTTCTTCTAGCTGCAAACAAATAGGATATTTCTAAACTCAGCTCTGTGCCTCATGTAGTTCAGTTCACCATCAGCTTCTATATTTGCTTGTGGGTATTACTCCAGTTGTACCTTGTCATTCCCTAGAGCCAGGGCTTCAGTTTTAATTAGCAGCCTCTCCTAAGATGTTCAGTTCATATTAAACTAGGCACTGGCTTCCACAGCGGTCAGAAACGTGGGAAGACGATAAGGATTATCAACTCATCTTAACCTAGAGCATCAAGGAATATATGAAACTAGACTTCCACCACTGTAACGTCACCCACTGGCCCAGATGCCTCCTTTACTCACCTTTTTTCACCATACTTTCAAAGAAATCCTTGGGAATCTGGAGCGGGACTTGATAATACTTTGCCATCCTCTTTATATCTTTCATCATGTACTCCCCACGTTTGGGCAACATAGCTGGGGCCTGATTACCTTTTAGGAGGAGGGAAATTTCAAATGGGAGATTCCAATTAAAACTTCAATTAGACTTGTTAGGTCTGATCAAGCACAGGCTAGCAGAACTCAAGGTGAGGTTTTATGTTCATCTAAGAAAACAGACGTAACTTTGCTCCTTTTCATTTTGCCTGCATTAGTAAACTTTCAGATACAAGCCTAAACGAATATACCCAACTGTAAATCAAGACAGCAATGTCTACCCAGGGTGTTGTACTGGTTTGACTATCTGTTTTTAATACTCAGTGGTTGCAACTCTTGTGAACAGTCAGGCCCAGAGAACAGAGCACTGCATCAAAGAGGAAGGATTCTGAGGTTCAGATGATACAGTTACAAGGGATAACTGTGGTATCTGTAACATAGGATACAGGCTTTCCTTGTATTGTTTTGTGTCTGGCCTAGAGCAGTTCAGAAAAAATAGGCAGATGTACTGTAAAGTGATTATTACTCCAAATTGAAAGGTGGGAAACCAAGACACAGAGGGCATGGGGTATGTCAACATGGCAGTCACTGGCTAGCTCAGGAATTGGAAACAGTTTGGCTGTGACCGTATAGAACTTGGAACAGACTAAGTTTTTCTCTTCCTTGAAATAGTTCTGCAGCCTGTGCTGATCCGTAGGTTGCCACAATTATACTGTTATTGGGACCCCAGATAGTCAACTTAAAGGCAGTTCAATTATGTCTACACTGTTCTGCACTTATTGGGAGAAGCTATGTACTGTTTCACAGCGTGTCCTGCCAATGTGGGAATGCTCCTCTAATAGCACAACTTCTTGCAAAACAGTGATTGGCTAGAGCAGTGGTTTGCAACCTTTTTTTGGCCACATACCCCTTTACTAGCAAGATATTGCTGCTCATACCTCCTACACATTCATTCCTTAGGAAGACTGTTGACAGTAACATCAATGCATTGCAATGCCATTATTCATCATGCATTGACCAATCCAAAGTTCCAGTGCCATTACTAAAATTTAGAAACATACCCCTCAGTAAAGGGCAATGTATCCCAGTTTGAAAATCGCTGAGCTAGAGCATCTAGATGGTCTCTCTGTAATGCCCACCTGTCTCCTTCATTATGCCTCCAAGGACAGCAGGACGCAAATGTAGATCAACGTTCCAAATGTGCTGGTAGCGACATAGTGCCTGCAATGGGAAAGGAAGAAGCAATTAATAACGCTTTGTACGTCAAAGAAAGCCATGGATCCAGGGCTGAACAAGAAACCGCTCAATGAAACAAACGCATCTAGCAGATAAAACCTTATTTAGAGCTGCCTGAGAATATTAAGAATCTCTCCTGGAATCTGATCTTCATGCTGGGAATACTTTAGGGAAGTTTATTATTCCAGGTCAAGAGATCCAGGGTTTGAAGTGCTGAACAGCCCAGGCCATCAGTGAAATTTACTCCAGTGGTGCCCATGGAGGTCAGTGCAGTGGTAAGTTGGATAAAAATAACACAAAATCAAGCAGGA